GTCTTCCATTTGCGAAAAGAGATGAAACCTAAGACATCATCAAAGATATCCCTATATCTCTCATAATGACTGCTTCTTTTAATCAAGGTTCCCTCCCCTCGTCCTGGAAATTGGCTTCAGTTACTCCTGTATTCAAGAAAAGTAATAAACTTGATTGCAATAATTATCGTCCAATCAGCCTAGTTCCTATTGTCAGCAAGGTCATGGAATCGATTATTTCGGAAGCTATGTCCGAGTTCCTTCTTCAAGAGAATGTCATTCCTCACCAACAGCATGGATTTATCAAAGGTCGTTCAACGATCACAAACTTACTTCATTGTGTAAATGATTGGTCATTATCTTTAAACAATCTGAATCCTGTCGATGTAGTTTACTTAGACTTCTCCAAAGCTTTCGATCGTGTTCCAAAACGTCGATTACTAGCTAAATTGGATCACTATGGTATCCGCGGAAAATTAAACATTTGGATACAAGATTTTCTATCCGACAGATACTTCAGGGTTCGTGTTGGGGAAGACCACTCATTAGATAAGCCAGTCAAGAGTGGAGTTCCACAAGGATCAGTACTTGGACCGCTACTTTTTTGTGTCTACACTAGTGATCTTCCGCTCATTGTATCCAGTAAGGTTTCCATTTACGCTGATGACACTAAGTTATATGTGAATCCAACTATTAACCAACATATTCTTCAACAAGATCTTGACGCAATATTCAAATGGTCCTCAGAATGGTTACTTCCGCTTAACATTGAAAAATGCGTTGTTTTACATATCGGCAAAAATAACCCATCACTTCCGTACTTTATTAATGGACATCCTTTAAACTCTGTAACCTCACACAACGATCTCGGAGTGATAATTAATAGTGACTTAAATTGGTCTGATCACATAGTGTCGGTGTGTAAACGTGCTAACTCGAAACTGTTTTTGATTCGTAAGTGTTTTGCACGCATATCTCTAACCTCTGTTAGTAAACTTTACTCAATATACGTTAGACCTATTCTTGAGTTTGCCGGACCAGTGTGGAATCCAGATCTTAGTCGCGATAAAATTCTACTTGAAAACGTTCAGCGTAAAGCCACAAGACTGGCATACGGCCGTGTAAGACCTAACTATGAAGATAGACTATTCATGGCTCATCTTACGACATTCGAGCAGCGACGTCTTCGAGGTGACCTAATTATGTCCTTCCGTATTTTAAAACATAATTTTGGGAACCTAAACAACATATTTACTTTGAATGAAGACGATAGATTAAGAGGCCATCAATACAAATTAAAGAGGGAACAAACTACTGCAAGGTCCAGGGCGAACTTCTTGCCAAACAGAATCTTTAATATATGGAACAATTTGGATCAAAACACCATATCGGCAGCTAGTGTTAACATCTTTAAAAATAAACTTGACAGCACTTTATTTTTTTTATAGGATAGGATATTTTTTCTCGGACAGCATTATTTATTTATTTATTGTGTCACAATTCAATTTTCGTTAATTGTTTAACTACTTAACTTTATAATTAGTATTAGTTTTATAAGGATCTATTTTATTTTTGTTTATTTTTGCTTTTTGGGCATAATAGGAGCTCGCTCCTCTGCCCTTATTTGTTATAAAATAATAATAATAATATGAACAAACAAGGGGTAATTGAACCATCAAACAGTCCATGGACATCACCAGTAGTGCTAGGAAAGAAGAAAGCTGGTTCTTTCTAACGACCTTCGGAGACAGTCCTTACTCAGAACAAGATCCTTATTGACAAACTTTGTCATCTCTTGAAAATCTGATTGTTCCGAGATTTCAATTTTTTGGAGATTAGTTGGCCCATTATTTCAAAAACTTTATCATGAACTCAAATTTAATATAACTGAACCTACAAGGTTTAGAGCCAAAAATCATGCTTTAATGTTAGATTTAATTTTTTTTAATGGCTCAGATCCATCGTCAGTGTGGAACTCTTTTCTTCATACTGCTGTTATAACTATTTCTGATCATTCAATTGAACGGCAACTATATAAAAATAAATTAAAACCTTGAACTAACTGTGATGACACGTGGTCAGGTTTATAGGATAGGTTAGCCTGGAGAGTGGAGGTTAGGTTATAATGAAACACCTTTCATCAGGAGCGATTAATTACAGGGACCCGATCCGTCAACTGCGCATGTGCAATCTTTGAAATGACATTAAAAGTGGGAACAATGGAAAAATCTCCAACCTAAAAAAATCTAGTTTATAAAAACGATTAGGAATAAAAATAGGAAATTTTACAATATTTATTTCTACAGGTACATAGTTGTTACATTCATAACTAAAATATAGAAAATAAATAACTTGTACTCTGAGTATAATAATAAGAAAGAAAATCACATTAACCTAATGTATATTGACGACTTATATTATTTTGTAGTAGTAGCTTATGGAGATTGTTAACTTTGCACCAGATAGTTTAAAATATTTAACGTAATACACGTTTATGAGTGAAGATAAGGATTATAATAAATTATTATATAAGTATTATTATAAACTTAAATTTATTTATTGTTGTTGAAAGTAAACAAATTATTAGTGAACTAAATTTAAATGACATATTACGGTTAATCTTGTATGGGTTGGCAAAATCGTTGTCTTCAGGTGGATGTTTTCAAAAGTTGTCTCGTTCTAAAACGTGTTTAAAATAGCTTAATTCTTCAATACTCTTCCATAAAAAACTGAAGTAATGTCGGACATAAATCAGAGTGTTTGTATTTTTCCAACTGAAGTAGTGTCCAACTTGTAATAATTTCTGTAAAATAAACTTCATTAATATAGGAGTCCTTTCGGTTTGAAAAAAAAGCTACTGGAAATCTTCCAGACACTTATTTAAATGCACATTTTCTCCACATTGCATCAGCGTAAACCTAGACTGATTTGAGAAAATTTTACCACATTCAAAACAGTTCACTGACATATTTACTAATTACGTAAATAGGGAACTATTCAAAACAATTTTTAATCGACAAGGCAAGATACCGCTTAACATTTTCATTTGAAGGTTCGAAATATTTCGAAGGCAGTCGTTTCGCACATGCGCAGTTGACGGATCGGGTCCCTGTAATTAATCGCTCCTCCTTTCATCTATCGTGTCTAGATTCAGAATGGTTTTATTTCCTCTTCCTTGCACCTGTCCGTCACGTCACTCTTACAATGTTACCAACCTGAGTGCGTTCCGAATATTTAGTTATTTACATACATCACACTAACCTCTCAGCTACACGCTTAATTTAACACAGGCGGAAGTTTCGGCGAACATATAAACTTTGTGGTTCCCTTGATTTTTTCGTCCACCGTATTTTTTCCAACTGAGTCAATTATTGCTAAAGCTATGAACAAAATTTAAAGAATCTAGCATTGCAAGATGTAATAATAAAAAAAATATCGCTACTTTGCATTATATTACTTCAAAAAAGCTGACGGATCTTTATGTTCTTCGAACAAAGAATACTAGGAATGTTTATCGGTATTTTTTTTCTCAGGTTTTTACAGATAAACCTAACGATACCATTCCTCAAATAATGTGTCCAGGTCTACATAAAAAACTCTGGAAAACATCTTACACCAGAAACAATTACATATCATTTACGGAAACTACGCAATAATTCATTTAAAGTTTGTTTAGCAGAAAATGGTTGACTTCAATTAGTGTGGTCGTAAATATTATTAAATTTATCTGGCTTGGCCTATTGTTAAGACCTTGTACCTCAGGTAAACCATTGTTACCTGAAACCGGGCCTTTTATACTATTATCGGTTAACCCAGGATGTTTATATTCGGTACTATTTGAAGTCAACCATTTACTGCTAAACAAACTTTACCAGGATTGGACGGACTAACCTCCTTTTTTCTTAAATAATATGCACTATCTGTAGCCACGCTTGTATTTCTCATAACGAATGCCTCTGTTAATCAGGATTACTTCCCTTCATTCTGGAAATTGGCTTCGGTTATTCCTATTTTCAAGAAAGGCAATAAACTTGATTGTAATAATTATTCCCCAATTGGCCTAGTTCCTATTGTTGGCGAGGTTATTGCATCCATTAATTTTGAAGCTATGAGTTTCTCCTTTAAGAAAATGTCATCCTTCACCAAAACCGCTGCTTTATCGAGGGTAGTTCAATGATCACAAACTTACTTCATTGTGCAAACGATTGGCTTTCGTCTTTAAACAATCGACACCCTATTAATATAGTCTACTTAGACTTCTCCAAAGCTTTCGATCGTGTTCCCAAACGTCACAATGGCAACTACTGATGCTATGAACTAATCTAACAAAAACTAAAATGAAAGCTGGATTCTTGTAATCCCTATGTTACTGGATCTGCCATGAAAGCATTTTGGCGAACAATATTTTTGATGTGAATTGGTATCAAAAAACATTACAGCGCTTCAACCAGAGAACACGTACAAAAAACTTCAACGCAGGAAACTCAAAAAGTTGCCTGTCATATTTTATTTCTTCAGTAGATTGAAAATAATGGATATATATCAATAAATAGATTTTTTTTTCATAATTGAACACTGCCATAATGATCACTTTTTGAACATTATTTTATCATTACATATTTTTTATTAGATCGATATATAGTGTTTCAGTAAATCAGTAAATTAAAGTTGAATCAGTAGATCTACTGAAAAATCAGTTAACCTGATAACCCTGCGAGAGGTAGTAATGGACAACGTACAGTCAGGTACAGTCACAAAACATGTCGGTCACATCGAAACTGGCTTCACTTTTCGAAGGTTTATTAAATGAACGTTACCTGTTCTCTCTCTTCCCTTGTCTAAGGTAATTCCCAAAGATTTTTTACTATTCTAATAATCAATGACGGAATGAATTTAATTAAACTTTTAATCTGTTCAAACTGTGATATTGGTATGGAAATAGAGTATGTTAATTTTTTTATTTATAAAATCGTAAAATACAAAAACTCACACGTGACTATAAAGTAAATCTTATCTAATTTTTATTTCCTAACTCGTACAACAGTAGGGGACTGCTTCTCCTCACTAGAACTACTCAAAGTGTCGACACTTTTGCTATCGGATTCTTCCTCACTGTCTGAAATACTATGTTTAATGGAATCCAACGTTTCTTCACTTTTGTACATCTTATCACCAGCATTCGGAATACCTGGCGCCTTTCTATTCTGATTCGAAGAAAACAGAGCGCCTAAAGAACCTAACGATCCCGTTGATCTAAATATTGAGCTTTTCGCAAATGTTTTTTCTTGGGTTTGATTCGGAATTCGTAGGGACTTTTTAAATTCCTAAAAAGTAAATAACATATTAGAAGTGAGTTGTTTGTGATGTTTGGTGTAGATTACCGACTGTAAACGTCCTCTCATACTTTGAAAGTCCTAAACAGCAAATAATACCAATTTTAAATTACTATTTTTAAATAATATATCTGTTGAACTTAATTAAATATAAATTACATAATGATCAGGACTGTACTAAGGTGAAGTTTTAGCCATTGAAAGAGCAGCGAAAATTGAAGTTGTTTAGCAGTTTCGCTATTTTTACTTCAATATTTCCGTGTCAGATCTGATTGAGCATTCAATTAAAACAACAATAGGTGCAAATTAAGCAAGTTTGGCATTTTTAGTTTTAAAATGTAGCGAATAAAAAACCGATTTAACTAGGTTATTAAATTTATTTTCTAGTTTATGACTTAAAGCAGAATGTAAACGAACAATTTGAGCTTTCTATCACGATGTGAAAGTGAAGCTTTAGAACTTTTCAACTTACACTTTCTTCTTAGACATTTTTTTAAAGATACCTATTTCGAATATATCAGACACTGATCAAAACTTCAATACAAAAATATATACTTTTGTATACCTATTGATATATGGTATGTCATATATACAAAGATCACTTGGAGTAAGTAGTGAAGATGGTTTTGATGTTTAGAGCGTTATGAGTTTTGAGAGAAAGATTTTGGGTTGATCAGGCGGCAAGGTTTCTTTTTTCGAATGGAATGGTGTTTAGATGTTTTTGAATGCTCCTATTGATTTTGTGGTAACCGTTTTGTAAGAGTGTTTGCTTTATTAAATTGATTTCGCATGATCTGCGATTGTCGTCGCTAAGTCTTATGGAACAAGAAACAAGAGTGTTGATATCTGAATTGAGTTGGGCGGGGTGATGATGTGACTGAGCATTGAGAAAACGGTTGTATGGGTGGGTTTCCGATACACGGAATAGGAAAAACTGTATGGTGGGTGTTTCAAGATAAGAACATCAGGGAATGGCAAAGATGCTTCAGACTCAACTTTAATCGTGAATTGAATACTGAAATTTATTCCATTCAAGTGAGAGAGGAAGAGATTTAATATGAACACCTTTACTATCGAGTGAAATGACAAAGGTGTCATTAACGTACCGTAACCAGCAGGTGGGTTTGAAATTTGATAAGGACAGGGCTGTTGTTTCGAAATGTTCTATGTAGATATCAGATATTACAGGAATTAGGGGGAATCCGATTGGGACACCTTTGATTTGACGATTGAAATGATTTTGGGATGTAAAGTAATGTAGTAGACATGTAGTGTTTTATTTTAAGAGATAATATATTTCATCAATAGGAATGTGGCTAATTGGCTACGCCAAAGCCATTATACAATAAAAATCAATAGGAATGCTTAAAATAAAGAAACAATGTCAAAGCTAATTTGTATATCTATCTATCTATATAAGGATTTTTACAGATGCTGCCGCTTTTCTTCTTTCAGCCAACGTCTCCAGTCATTTCTGTTCTCCATCTCTAAGGTCTCGTCTTTCCATGGCCTCGTCCACTTCATCCCTCCATGATCTTCGGGGTCTACCTGTTTTTCCTCCTTCCCATCGGGCTCCAATCCGAAATTTTTGCTATCCACCTTGTATGATCTGTTTTTCTCACATGTCCATACCAAATTAAATGTTTTTCTTCGATGTAGCTGAGTATATCTTGTTCTACTGCCATTCTTCGTTTTATCTCCTCATTTCTGATGCGATCTATTTTTGACACTCTGCAGCTTCTTCTCATGAACTCCATTTCAGTTGATGTCATTTTGGACCTGTTTCGTTTATTTATAAATAAATAAATAAATAAATTTGTATATCTGAGGGTGAAATAGAAAAGTTTTTCAGAAGATCAATGAAATGGAAAGAACCATCTTTAGCCGAAAACGCCTCGTCCTTTGTCAAAAATTCTTGAGACCTCAGTGCCCTTTGACGGTGCTCGTATTTTTGGAGAACAAGATACTAGTAAGTCACAAGTAAGCGGAGTAGACAAATAGAGACCCCGAACTCGAACAGAGCCATACCCGTCTTGAAAATTGCTCCAAAATGGGTACCGAAATAAATTCTCAACGTGGTTCTTTCCGAGTAATGCGTAGCTTACTTAGTGTACACGCACCCACGGAAGAAAAGTAAGATGACGAAAAAGATGAATTCTACGACACCTTGGATAAGGAATATGATTGATATTCACGTCATGATGTGGAAATAATTGTTGGGGACTTTATTGCAAAAATTGGCAAAGAGCAATTTTTCCAGTCAACTATAGGATGTGATAGCTTGCATGAAGAGTGAAATGAAAACTGATTGAGATAAATAAACTTTGCAAGCACCAAAAACATGATAGTAGGAGATAAAAGATTTCTCCATAAAATAATATACAATCGAACATGGAAATCACCTGACAACGAAACCGATAACCAGATAGATCATATCCTAATAGATGCAAGGCATTCTTCCGACCTCATGGATGTCAGAAGCTACCGAGTTCCAAACATAGATAGTGACCACTTTCTTGTAATCGCAAAAATCAGAGAAAGAATTTAAAACTTGCGAGAGTTAAAGTTACGAGAGAGTATAGGAGACAAATAGATAAGGAAAAAGAGAGCCTGGACTCTGAGGAAAATATGGAGGAATTGTGGATAAAATATAGAAACATAATAACTGAGAAAGCATCGAAAATATTGGAGAAAACCAAACTAGTTAGACAAAACGAATGGTTTGACGAGGAGTGCCAGGAAGCAAGGTAGCATTTTTAAATTCCTTGATATATATTGAAATACCCTCGTATATGTATAAGAACAAATTTACGTGATAATTAACGCAAACGTGCGTGACATACTCATATGCGCAAGTAAAGATAGGAAGCAGAACATCGATGCCATTTGGTGGGACCCCTTGTCACCGTTGCTGTTCAATTTTGCTTTAGAATATGCAATAAGTAAAATATCGTCTGAGCTGACAGGAGAATTTGCTGATCAAGGATCAAAACTGTTGCTGGCGTTTGCTGATGATATAGATGCAGTCATGCATTCTACAAGGGACGTGAGAGAGGTGTTTTCACAGCTCGAGGAGGAAACAGGTAGTCTGGGTCTGCGAATAAATGAAGAAAAGACAAAATACATGGTAGTAACCAAAAATCCAAGACTAAGAGTTAGAACATCACTATTAATGATCACAATTTCGAAGTGATAAAGGAGTTTATATACCTGGGGTCGATAATCACAGCTGACAACCACATAGAAAAAGAGGTCTCACCAAGGATAGCTGCAGGAAATAGAACATTATACTCCCTTTTAACATTATTAAGATCTAAGCTGCTAAAAATAAAATCTAAATTAACACTGCACAAGTCGATTATTCGCCCAATTATTACATAGGACAGTGAAACGTGGACTCCCCACCAGCGGGAAATCAATAAGCTTCTAGTATTTGAAAGAAAGGTTCTCAGAATAATATTTGATGGAACTGAAAACATAGTTAGACATATCAAGGTCAACTGAATAAGATGGGCAGGTCACTTGGTACGATCAGAAGATGACAGAGTGTTAAAGACAGTGTTTTTTGAACGACCAGATGGTAGAAGATCAGTATGCCGACCAAGAAAAAGATGGAAGGATGATGTTGAAGCCGATTTATCTAGAATTGGGGTACAACAATGTTAAATAGAAGCGCCAGATCGTAGACGATGGAGGGCGATAATGGATGCGGCGAAGACTCACCCCGAGTTGTAAAGCCAGTGAAGAAAAAGATATATTAGAACATCGAAGAATATTTTTAGTGTATTTCAGTTCCTATCGTACAAGTTAAAATACCAAAAAAATAATTTCAATTGCTTTTTGCGTCGCTGGAGTTAATATAAACCATTTTATAGTTTGTTTATATTTCACAAATGCGTATTTTCTCGGTATTCTTGGATCGAAGCCTCTTTTAGGATATTTTGCGCTTCCGTTCCCGTAGTAAGTGTTTTGTTTATATCAAGTTAAGCGAATGAATTTTAGAAGATAATTTCATCACTCCCGGTTAGGTCGCTGTCAGACGCAGTTGCTTACAGTGTGGATCCAAATTTTACGTCAAATTTGAAAATGTGTAGTTGCAGTTTAAGTGAGGTTTGGAAGAATTGTTGTTTCCATCCTCGTTTTGTTTCTCCCTGGTTGTCATCACTGGCTTTTTGGCAGTTTGGAGAAAAAATTGTTCGTGTGTTCGTTACGCAGAGAATTTAAGTCCCAGTTTCTACCCCCAGAATTCCAGTCAAGCCCAGATCTATCCCCAGAAATTCCAGTGAAGTCTAGTTACAGAAAATTTAAAGTAATTTAGTGAAACTCAGGTAACTTTTTTTTATTCGAACTTTTGAAGTAAAAATAGGCAATTTTTCATTAATAATTGCTTTCATAATGTAAAGAAATTGGAATAATTAAAATTATATGTCTTAGGGCGTGGCTTAGCGGTTATTTTAATTGTTCTGTTTTAAAATTTAATGTTAACATATGACAGCTAGCTTTATTATTTTTGACATCTGATAAATACCTAATCATATTTGAGATTTTTGTTGTGGTTTTTTCTTAAAGAAGGTTAACCTCCATGCAGTAACATTTGTAAGTTTTTGTGGTATCTCCACTTCTAGAGTTTGTAAACGGCTAGGACTAGTAAGTGTTTCTCTTTGTTATTTTTGTATTTACTTTTGTGACTATTAATAAGGTATCTTTGTATTGTCTATTTTTGTAACTGTTTGTGGTGAGACAACAAGAAATGTTTAGTTTTTTTTCTAAACCATGTTGTTTATTTCTCTTAACTAACTCTCTAGCCCCTTTTTTGAGTTTCATTTAAAAAGATATATTTTTAATTGCTAATAATTATTTCAATAGTTACAACTAGTTGTTGTAATCGTTATAATTTGCACCTCGAAGCAGCGTCCATTTTAAATTGCTAGAGGTCCTTCTTGTTATTTTGTTTGTTCCAAGAGACTTATGTAAGTACCCCTTTGTTTCAT